AGGGAATGTTGGCTGTAGTTGCGGCTAGCAGTTTGGCAACCCTTTCGTTCCTGAAGAAGTTATCCATTATATCCGGACTAGGGTCAGGCAGTAAACCGCACAGACTCACGTAAGTTTACGTACGCAAACTAGCGTACGCAACAGATGCACACACCCCCTCCCTCAGCTCCCCTATAATGCCGACTTTGCAATGGCTCGTCAGTTTCTGATGCTGAACTGTCGCACGTGGCGTTCGAACACTCAGATTTAGAAAGAAGTACATACTGAATGACATTACCGACAAAGACCAGGGAGACTGTAATGAACAGTTCTGGCTCATTAGTCGTCATCAGCTAGCCATAGCCAACTCTAAGTGGTGCCCCCACCGAGGTTCAAAGCCACGACCTTGTTAGTTAGAATTCCAACGCACTAACGCCTGCACCACGGGCTCGTTACCTTGCCGTTTTCTATAGGTTACAAGACTCACTCTTGCCAGTATGGTTTCGACCCGCAAGACGGCTAATGATATAGAAATAATGAAATTAGCGACAAAGACAAGGGCGACTGGAATGTCATCAGCCAGTCATACCCAACCCCGAGTAGTACCCCACCCGAAATACCTTTGGTGCGACTTTTACATTTTGGTAGGCGACACTTCCAACTGTGCAGTTACTCCTACGTAAACCCTACGGTAAACCCGCATCCTGCATTAGAAGACTGTGAAGTGCGTCGTATGAGCCAACGTCAAAGTGGGTCGTTAGGCTTTCTCGTTCCGAGGACTACCCTCAGTTGAACCGAAGCATATTTATTGAAATCGCGTTGCATGGTAAACCGCTTCAGTATAACTAGGTGTGATGTTTGGATTAGGACAACAAAAACAAAATACGCGCACATGACCGTTATCCCCAAGCACGCCATGCGTTTTTTTTCACTTGATGATCGCGTACAAGTGGTGGTAGTTGTCTTCACCTAGATATGACGCTACAATTTCACATTGCAGCAGACAATTCCTCCCAAGGATTCCTCACGAGTAAGCACTAGGTGGAATTAGTGTGCTTAAAGCGGACAGGCAGAGTACTTCGGAGAAGCTGGTTTTTGGCTGATAAAACGCCTGACGGATCATTCTAAATTGGGTGAAAAAGTCGGACCACTGTCGTTGTTGGCAGAATATGGGGTTATAACAGGACACATGTTTCCTTTATTAACTATTGAAACACCTGAAAACGAGAACGACCACAGGCCTAGGGAGGTACTTGAAAGTTGGCATAAAAGCACGCATGCACCAAGAGTTGCATGACCCACCCTGCAGCCTATCAGGGCATACGGTCACCCAAATCGACTGGGCTGCGTAGTTCAAGACAGGTAGCATACTGACGCAAGAGAAACGCCAAAGTCGCCGGATTACAAGAAATAAGACATCAGTGACCCTTTCAGCCTCCCTTCTCCCGATCGGTATCACTTCCCCTTCGGTTTGTATGTAGCTTGTGTCTCGACATAAACGGCATCCTACTGAGAATTCACCGAATGGCATAAAACTAGGCCAACAACGATAACAAACAGCAGCTCTCGTAGTCAATTGCCCAAAAACAAA